ATCTATCTATCTATCTATCTATCTATCTATCTATCTATCTATCTATCTTTGTGCCCATGTGCATGTATGTGTGAATTGATTTAAATACCCCATAGCAAGCATACTATGAATGTTGCCATCTCAGATCCATAATTAAGTCACTGTCGTGACTGTAGTTAATCCCATTGAATCCCTTTGTAAATGTTAAATCATTCAATGATTAAGTGCTGCTAAATCCTTTAAACATAATCCATTGTCCAAGTCTGAGACTCAAATTGGACCTACTTGCAGTTAAGCTCTATCAGGTGCTTAGAAAGCACAATATAAATGAAAATATCTTGACATATAAATGTTACAATAGTATTTTGTTTTCATAATTCAAATATATTAAGAAACAAGACTTCCTTTTTTATTCATGCCTTTTCCTCTAAAAAAACATAATTTAAGCAGCACACTCTAATCTCCAAGCGATTTTCCACATTCAAGTTCAGGAGAGACATCATGACGAAACTGTTTTTCAACAGATTCCTTTATTGCATCCAAAGAAGTTCAATAAAGAATTGCAATAATAGTTTGAGTGCTATCATTTTAGCTTTAAAGGTACGATGGGAACAATTATACACACCTGTCTTAGCAGCAGGAATAGAAAAAATAAATGTAGAAAATAACAACTCCAGAGAGCTTCATCAAAGAATTGGAGGCAGAAAACAGGCTTACAATCACTTTTATCCTAGCCTTGACAGATGACCTGGATTCCAGTCCCAGCAGTGACATTTCTTACCAGCTCAGACCATGAAAATACGCATTGGAACTACTGTGATTCAAGTGTTGATCTATGAAATGATTCTTTTCCTTTTCTAGAACATCTTCGTGCCTGTGTTGTTACATTGCAGATTACTTACAAATGCCCTGGCTGAATAGATGACAATGTTTACTGTGCATCAAGCCTTTCAATATCCTCATTCTAAGAGAAATGTTATCTTACATGTTAAAGGCTAAGCTGCAGTATTCAGATGAAACAAAATATCTTTTTGTTTGAAAGATGCTGCCAGTTCTGCACAAACACAGGGGAAACTGTCAAAACACAATCTAGGTGCTACAGTACAGCTACAAAACACAAAAATCCTTTAAAAAACATGGAAGACATGATTCATGAGACAGTTGAAGAATTTTACTTACATAAGTGCAAGGTAGGGAGTTGAATATGCTTTTACATTTATAAGAGACTTATATTTAGCAAGTAGAATTAATTTTCATTCAACTAATCCATCCTACGTTATGGCATCAATTATTTTACCATTTGTTAGGAAAGGATTTGGCAGATATAAGGACTTTGTCTGCTTTGGGGAAATTATTCTCTCCCCATCACAGTGATTAACTTTCTCACAGGAACTCACAGACCTGATATTATGGTACATTTTAGGTACATCTCAAGTCCCAATTCTGACAAAAAAACCCTAATAAAACCCTAATAAAACACCTACTAACAATAAACTCTCCTTGTTTAGTTTGAAAATGAAACCTGGGTTTGCAGAATCTGTTTTTGCAGGACTGGGTTTTAGCAGGATTCTCCCTCTACTCATTCTTTAGTTGAATATATTCATAATTTCTGTCACTTCACTAGAGATTAAAATACATTTGCCAATGAGATTCAATATTAACCACTTTTATGATCATACAATCTTTAATCTCTGTGCAATTGACATCTAATTGTTGTCGACATTTAATCGCATGAATTGCTAAATATCCCTTTTGTTAAAGAGCTTGCAGTACAGGGCAGTAATATTCAGACCACGCTTCCCATGTACCCTCACTTCAGGATCCCAATGCTATCACTGGAGAGAAGATGATTCCTAACCAAGGTGTTCTGTGTAATTGTGCAGTAAGTGTTTACTGCTGCTGTTTACACATACAGCCTATACAGGCTCCTCACTTATGACAATACAAAAACAACCAAATGCCCATAATGTGCCCATTCTGCTTGACCTATACATAATTGTAGATAACTGTAAAACCATACTGATGAATTTTATTATACACATATCTGGATATGTATAATTTTCCTACTAAATAAATTTTGCTGGTTGCATCTGTTGTGTCATGTTGGAAATGAAGAATGGAACAACCAGAGAACGACACCTTTGGCCTTCAGATGCTCCCCTCAGCCTGCGTGAGGTACTAGTGAAGCACTTGTGATTGTTTGTTCAATACAGTCTGGACGTTCTGGACAAAAATGAAATGTTTTGAGTGCCCTTTGAGCTGTGGGGCACATGGTTCTCTCAGAGCTGAAGGGGAAGTTTATTATATGGAAAACATATCATTGTCTCCTCTGATCTCATCAGATATTCAAGTCCCAGCTGTCTTTGGCACTTTCAGCATTATCACATGTAACTTTTTCATGTATTTATTTATGAGGTTCCCCATCAGGCCTATACTGCACGCTGCTGCTCACTCTTGTTGCCTGGTAGTGAAGACAGCCTAGCTCTTCATTTGGAAGCCTGTCTAAAGGACAGTTTGGTGAAGCTCCGTGGTGGTCAGGGACACAGTGTTGGCACAGGACCACAGTTGTCAGGTTGCACTTTGGCGTCTGTGTTAAATAGGCTAGTTTGTAGGCTCACTGTCACAGTCATCTCCTGATGTTGCTTGTCTTTTGTACATCTTTTGGGATTTCCCATGCATAAGTCATGTTCAAGAGAAGACGTGTTTTTTCTCCTGTGTTACTCTCGTGACGAAGAACTTTAAGACTGCCAACGCGCAGAGGCTGGTGAACGACAGGGGGAATTCCTCCCTTCTCTCCTACAGGACAAGACACTATGTATGCCGGATCCTGTATTTATGGTGAACACAGAACATAAATGGACATTTATGTCTTGATGAAGGATGTGGTTAGATTTTGGAGAGCTTGGCATTATTACAGGGTCACCACATATTATACAGTAACTATTATTATGTCGTCACTATCAGGGTACTACAAATTACTATTACAAATTACTAATTTGATATTATACAGCTTTTAATTTTTATTCTTTTAGCTTTAATTACATGAATCTTCAGCACACTTATACCAAAATTAATCCAACCCAGGAGGTCCTCAGCAAAGAGTAGCTATGACCTCTAACTTTGTCTTTCAAGCAAGCCTCATAAACACAAAACTTCGGCGTTCAGTTTAAATTAACAACAGAGTTTACCGAGCACTAGAACACAAGCATAACAACGCCGACTACTCGCGTTAATCCCCACTCACCGCCCCTCCCCTCAGCCCTTGACGCACGCGCGCTGCCCGCGCGGGCGGGCGGAAGTGGCGCGCGGTGGGGGCGGGGCCGCGGTCCGCGCGGGGCGGCCGGTGCGCGTGGCGCGGGCGCCGGAATGGAGGCACAGCTGGAGGTCGTGGAGAAGCTGGAGAGCCTGGCGTTCGAGCCCGCCACCGCCGGCACGGCGCTGGGCGGAGAGCGGCCGGCGGGCACGGAGGAGGCACCGGCCCCTCCGGAGGGCGGTGGGGAAGCCCAGGCCCCGCTGTCCCCGGCCGCGGGAGCGCCCCGCTCGCCGTCGCCCGCGGGAGCGCCCCTCTCACTGCCGCCCGCTCGGCTCAGCGCGCCCGCTGCCGCCGGGCCCTCCTCGGACTCGGACTCGGACAGGTGGGTTCGGCCCTTGGGCTCCCCGCCGGTCGCTCCTCGCTCGTTTAGGCCGGGCCGCTGGTGCTGTGTCTGAGCGCTCCAGAGCCCGGTGTCCGAGCCCTCCCCCCGCCCCCGTGTTTCAGCCTCTGTAGCGCTGCCTTTCCCATTAAAGAAGGTATTTTCTATTATATTTCGCTGGGAGACTTACTGATGCATCAGAACTTGAGAACAGTCCCTGTAAGGGTGTTTGATTTAATGGAAACATGAGTTTAAGTGGCGGCGTGTGGAGCGCCTTGGGCCACCCGTGCCCGTGTGAGTGCCTGGCTGGACGTGCTCCTTACGGAGTGCTCCTGCGGCACTGGGGGCAACACCTGCGGTGTTACTGCTGAAAGAGCCTGAACGTAGGATTTCAGGTGAAGAGTCTGCCGACTGAACCTCGTGCTCTGATGGTGGCATCTCATTGCAAAACTGATTCTCAACCTCAATGATTTTTTTATAAAACATTCCATCTTCTGCTTGTGTCAGTGCTTCGATGTTCCGTGCAGTTGGTGAGAGGTAACTTTGGTTAGATGTGAGCTCTGTTGCAGTGTTAGAAGCCTGCACGCTTTGGCAGTTTCAGTAGTTTTGTATTTTCTTCTTGGGCCAGTGCAGCCATATGGGTATGTGCTTCTTTTAGCTAGTGGAGGCTGAAGTAAACTCTTAAAAATCTCCTCTTAGAGATACAAAGTTCATTAATAGTTAATTGATTAAAGTTTGACTTTAGTTGGTTCAAAGTTGTACTTGAATATCACGAAGTGATAGAGAGTGAAATTCTTGACTTCCAGGGGCTTCACCTATATGTAGTGTTTTTTACTTCCAAAATCTGCTGCACTGATGAACATTAAAGATGAAATTTTGATAGCTTTAACTTAGCTGTCTACATGTATCTTAATCTTTAGTTTGCCTTCTTTTTTCCCTCTTTCCCCTGATTGGTCTCTGGTAGTCTGACTGATTTTTTTTTTTCCTCCATGATTTTTTTTTTCTTTTTGCTATATAGATTTTGTTCCAGGAGGCCCATATTTGACTTTTTCAAAAGGTTTATTTGGGAAGGTGTAATTTTTTGTAATTACTATGAGCATTTTTTGGACTAAAGAATGCAGCAACAGATAATTGAAAGCTATCCATTTACTTGTGAAGGAGATTGTGGTATTACAAGAATGTAGAAAGGAGCATTTTTTTTATTTATCTCTGCTAAAAGCAATATGTTGATATGAATAAGGACTGGTTTCTTACTGATCTCTTTACTTGAAATATAATGAGTCTTAAGACAATAAGCATCTCTTACTCATGTATCAGTGTGAAATACTGAATTACTAATCTGTGTGAATATGTACTAGAGGATTTGGGCAGGCCATGAATTATGAAACTAATCCCTTTTATTTGCAAAAATTAGAATTTTTTTCCCCTTCATCTTACAGGATACATTGCTTACAACAAGTATTTTCTTGCCTTTCACTTAGTGTTATTCTAATGTTGGGACTGTACAAGAGCAGTGACTTTGAGAAGTCAGTATTCTAACTCCCATCTTTGTTTTATTCAGTGATACGGATTCAGAGAGTTCATCAACTACATCCTCCTCTGTATCTTCACTAGTATCTGACGAAGACGATCATCCAGATGAGAAGAATAACAGATCTTACTGTGTTAAAACAAAAGATGAATTACCTATTGACGTAAGTACAATGTGATGTCTTTTAAACCCTCTCCTATTAACCCAACCTAAAGTATCTATTTTTCAGTCACTCCTACTACATCAAGATGGGGGATAGAATCAAAAGAGTAAAAAAGAAAACTCTTAGGCTGAGCTAGGGACAGTTTAATATGTAAAGAAAAAGGCACACACACAAACAAAGCAAAACAAGAAATTAATTCACCACTTCCCATGGACAGGCAGGTGTTCAGCCATGCCCAGGAAAACCGGACTCCATCTCATGCAACGGTTACTTGGGTATACAAATGCCATCACTCCAAATGTCCTCCTCTTCCTCCTTCTACCCCCAGCTTTGTATGCTGAGTGTGATGCCATGTGGTATGGAATATCCCTTTGGTCACTGCGGGTCAGCTGTCCTGGCTGTGTCCCCTCCCATGTCTTTTGTACCCCCAGCCTCCTTGCTCATGGGGTGGTTTGAGAAGTAGAAAAGACCTTTATGCTGTGTGAGCACTGCTCAGCAATACCATTTCTGTATTATCAGCACTGTTACCAGCACAAATCAAGAACACAGCCCCTTACCAGCTACTGTGAAGAAAAATGACTTTACCCCAGCCAAAACCACCACAGTTAATAACTTAAAATGTCTTATTTTTTGGGTGCATATATTAAGGAACTATTTCAGAAACCTCTTGCTTTCAAGTGTAGGATTGGCAGATATTGCATGTAGTATGGCAGAAGGTACAGTTTACCATTTTGAGATTTAGGATCAAAATTATAACTTCTTTTCTGCTTGTTTTTGGCCTTTGAATTGCTCTCACAAAAGTGACTCAGTTAAAGTCCTAGCAGTGAAATTGATTTAATGTTGGAAAACTCACTAGCGTGTAGAAAGTTGTGGCGTTTCTATGTGAATACATGTCTGGCGTTTAATTATGTATTATAACATCTGGGAAAATGTTGGCCTTATTTATCTTTGAGTTGCTCTGTATGCTTTTGCCAAGCACTTGTTAAAGTGAAGATTGTCAGGTGAAGTTTTGATAAAACAGAATAAGATTCTTCTCTTTGAGTGGGATTCTGTTTCTGGTAGTGGCCCTTGAAAGTGCAATTTAGTGCTAAGATTTGTGTTCTACCTCTGAATTCACAAGATGTTGAATTTGAAAGTAATGCTTACTCTAGTTTCTTTATATTCTATATAGTTCATATTGAATTCACAACAGTATAGTATATACATACACATCTTAGTTCATGAGTAGGTCAGTTAGATGATGAGTTCAGTGTTAATCAGCCTTTGATAGTAGATTTTGATCCTTACATTTGAGGAAAAAGTTTAATTTGAATATTGTGTAGTACTCATTTTTGTATCTGAAGTTAGGCTCTTTTTTTTTTTCTGAAAGTGTTCTCTGATTATCCTCTGGTAACAAATGCAACTTTTAGCTAAAATTAATTTTCTTTGTATAGGTTGTTTTGATCTTTACATCTTCTATAATGGTCCAAGTCATGATATAAATGGACAGGTAACCATTTTGCCAAATCAGATGATACACATCTGTTGTATTTCATGCTGTATTGTCTCTTGCTGTGTACATTTTTCTTCTACCATGCATTGAATGTAATTGCAAGTTGCCTTATTTTTTGATTACTGATTAATTATTGTGTTGTACATTGAGCTAAATTTATCTAACTTGAAAGTTCAAAAAATGGAATGAAATGCCTGTCAGTTGTTGGCTTTCTCGGGTTAAATAAAATTGGCTTCTACTTCAGTTGTGATGGAAATATGTAGAGAAGTGTCTTTGTAGGAAAGATGTCCTCAAAAGTGGCATTCCCCCAAGAGGAGTTCATTTGGAATGATTCTGAGAGAGGCAAATCAAACTAGATTTTTTTAAAATGAAATCTTCAGAACACTAGGAGATTTTTCACAATTGTCAAATTGCTGCAGTGATGAAGTGATGAATGTCTTGGTGTGATATTATATTCTGAACGTTGACTTGATGTTTTCAGGAACTACCTCCTGTTGAAGACTTATCGATAATTCTGCCAGATAACGTTGAACTGAAGCTCTTCGGGACAGTGTCCAGCATTATTGAGCAGCTAGGTAGGAAATATATATTTGCTTTGTTTTTAATTAATATAATTTCTGCATAGCTCTGCATTAATTGTGTACTTAACTGTTCCTGCGAAGTGTCTGTACTGCAGTGTTGGATTTCTGGTGTTAGTGGGTTGCTGAATGAGAACTCAGGCTAGCAAATGATATTTGTGTTGAATTACCTTTTAGTTGGCTTACGTGATACTAGGACTACTATGCTTGTGTTTCTATGTGACTTTCAGGTTTACTTTTTTCATTAGAAAGCCTTTTTTCCACAGTGTATTTAGTGATTTTTATATTGATTCTGGCAACAATTACTGTATTTTAAGAGAATCTTCCAGTGGTATGGGCTATATTTGAATTATCTCTGAAAATATAGGAGTTGTGTAACTGAAAGCACAGATGCAGTACAGTGCAGTCCCAAGTGCTTTCTTGTTAATATACAAGGACAGGAAAAGGACTTGTTTCTTTAGTGGTGCAGGTTCTTTTTATTTATTTTTATCTTTATTCATCCCACTTCTGATACCTTGACTGAATGAAAGCTGCCCATGTCAGCAGTCATAGGATAGTATGACTAACATGATTTATAGGTGCTGGAGGGTAAACTTAAAGGGATTGAGATACACAATAAAGGTAGGCTTAACTGCAGGCAATAGACATTCAGGGATCTTTTCTGATATGCATGGAACCTCAGTATTTGGTATATGAAATCAAAGTTTTGCTGAAGCTGATATTATTAAAACAGCCATAGTATTCTTGTATTTAAGCTGTTTCAGGTGTTCTGTTCCACTTGAACTGCTTTCAAAGCAATTTGCTTATGAAAATCAGAAATTAAGTTCAATTTTGAAGTTAAAGTATTTATGTTAAATGGAGTACAAAAGAAAGCAAATAGCCTTTGCTATTAATTTTTCTTCTATTGTAAAAGACTTCGGGTAATATAGACAATTCTTTTACAGTATTTTTATTAGTGATGTTAGTTTAGAGTTAAATTTAATTTCATTCATTTGCAGGAAGCTGCTTTGAGGGTATGGAAGGTAATAATCAGTTTTTTGTTCTACACTGCCCTTTCTTGCTTATTGATAATAACGGGGACTTCAGGAAGGCTGTCTTCAGCTAAAATGGTAGTTTGAAAACAAGTTTAAGAAAAAAGTTGAATCATAGTTGCTGTTATTCTTATTTTTGGTCTAATATGTGAAGGTATAAACAAAGGTGTTTTAAAGACTTCAGTTTTGAAAACTGTCCTTAATTTTAATCCTCATTGGTGAGTATAATCTTTTAAAATCCTGTCAGTTTACCAGTAGGTGAATTCTTCAGTCTGCATCCTACTTTATGTAATGAAAATATATGAAGTGTTGAATTTAGATTTGTTGATGAAAGTTAGAAAACAAGCTAATAATCATAATGAATTAAAGCCATAAGAATGCCATAAACCTCCAGAATATCTGTGATTATTTTCCTGCTTTTACTACCTTGCTTTATGACTTCTCATTCTACATATTTTTGCTTCTTTTCAGTTCTTCTGTAAACAGGTGTCTGAGTGGCCTCAATTTCAGTTGATTTGTGGCCATATTAAGGACCCTGCCAGCTAATTGGGGATTGTTTTTTGATTTTTGAACTAGATTGATACCTCTGTATACCAGGTTTCTTGATTTTTTAACTAGATTGATACCTCTGTATACCAGGTTTGTATCTAGGGTGAGGGGAGTTGAGGTCTCATTTGGAAACAACAAATACCGTTCTGGCGCAACAATCAGTATTCTGAACTTTTTCATTCCCTTTGATGTATCTCAGAAATCTCTGCTGTTCTCCTTAGCAAGCTTCCAAGTTCATCAGTCTGCAGTGAGTGATACTTTTAAGTTTGGTATTTCATACTGTGAGGTGAATTTGAGGCTAGAACAGTATAGGTTCATGCTTGCTCTGCTCTAGCTAAAATCAAGATGACAGTACTTTCTGTGAACTTCTGCTCAGTGTATCAGAATTTTCCAAAACTTTTGCTGTGTTTTGCTTCAAGGTACTTAAAGAGAAGAGAAATATTCGCTGTGTGGGTTGTAGCCTAGAAAGTAAACAGTTTTGGTGTATATGAGAAATGTGCCCTGTGGCTGCGCTTTGGGCCCTGCAAGAGTAGAAGCTGAGGACTTAGGGTGGGTTGGGGTAGGGGAAACTGTAAGTCTAATAGGCTGTGGGTGATAATGCTTCTCCTAGGTTTCATGGGACTGGCATGACTTAGATTTTCAGAATATTTTCTGTAGCCTACTGAAGACTGGGAGGCTATGTCTGATGAATCAAGGTGAGAACATTCTCAAGAGGTTTTGGTATCTGTTTTTTTTGTTTTGTTTTCAGGGGTTTTTTGTGTGTGTGTGTTTTGTTTCTTGGGTTGGTTTTTTGTTGGATTTTTTTTTTGTCTCATGAGGTTTAAACAACACATTGAGTTTTCACTGTATATTTTATCTTGCAGGTAGGCACAAAAGAAATTGATTCCCCAAATTCTCTTGAAGTTCAGTGAACTATTAAGCCTGAGCATTGTCATATACTAGTTTGGCATGTTCAAAGGTTTTTGCAGATTGCAATTATAGCAAAGCTTGACTTTTAGCTTGGTGACATTTAAGTCCTGTTGTGTAAGTTTAGCAGTGATGATCTTGTTAGTTTTTGATTGAGTCTGAGTGGCACTAAGCGCTCGAGTGACCTTATTTGCTGATTGAGAGGCATTGAGAAAGCTTATGTGAGCATTCTGTTGTTTTAAGAGGTAGAGAAGTTTACCTTCAGAATCAGAATTTTTGAATGTAATGCTGCTAGGCCTTTACATTGACAGCTTTAAGCACAGTTCCTCTTGAATGTAAAGGAAGACCTGGTATTTCTGTAGACTAAAGCAACAAATGCAGACTACTACCAAAGAAAAGTGATCTACTATAAAGATTTCAGTAAAGAATAAGAATTATATCTCAGAATCTGGAAAACCTGTATATCAGATCATGTACTTAATGAAGGAAGAATGTGCCTCTGTGTCCAGTGTTTAAATCCACTAAGTGTTAAGATTTCATATTTTGAGCTACTAGAATGACGTACTTGCTCTGGCTATTCATACCATCATTAGTCATTGGTTAGTAGTATGAGACTTATATGATGTTAAATTGCAGAAATGTATTTCAGGTTGTGTATGTGCATACGTAAGCAACATCATCAGTTGCTACTGTGACTGAACTGCCATACAACTTTTGTGTTCTAGTTCTGATTCTTAGGACTTACTAGGGAAAGCTATAGTGAACAGCAGTCTCCATTCTTTTTTCTGAGGAGAATTTGGTTTGGAATACTAAGGCATAGTATATACCTGCATCTGCACTCAAACAACCCCCAGATTATTTCTGCTATGCATTTAATTATGAAACATCCTGGGTAAATGCAACAGATATCTCACGCACACATATCTGAGACTTCTCTTTTGTACCTGTCATCTGGTCTCTTTTACTTCTTTACACCAGAGAACAATAATTCTGTAAACATTGTAAATTTTGCCATTCATATTTCACTGGAGAAGGGATGTATGATTTGAAGTAGTTTTGTGTGTGCACAAGAATTTTTGGTTGCAGCTCTATGAACTTTAGTGGACACATAATGGTGTGGTTTGTTTTTTTGTACAATTAACTACATGCTATTGAAACATAAAGTTGTAATTGATCTTTTTCTTTCCCTTTTAGTAATAATTGAATCACTAAGAGGCCTACCTCCAGTAAATGAGGAGAGCATAATTTTTAAAGAAGATCGGCAAGCAGCAGGAAAGGTGTGTGTAAATTAAAAGCCTGTTATTGAAAGTATTCTTTAGTGCTCCAAAAACTAGAGGTGAAATTGATTAAATGAAAGATAATGTTTCCTTGATATATATTTTTTCTTTATGCTTTTGACTCTTGCTATATTCAACTACTTTTTTAATCTCAAGAATTCCTAACCTGGAATTCATTGCATCCTTACAGAATTGCAATGTCTGGTGAATTCCCAGTATTTGATGAGGGTGCTTGTGGAGAGGTAGAGGTTGCTTTCAGATGTATGATGTCTTGGAATAACTGAATGTACTCTCTTACTTCCAGATAGGGGCAAAGGTTAGAGTGAAGTGTCATGAAGAATGGGGAATGTTTACAGCTCTGTGCTCTGCTGTACTGGTTTAAGGCCAGTGAATAATGTTTGCTGAGAGGGGTGTTGCATTGAATTTTCTGTATTTTCTGTGAAAGGAAAACCATCATCTACAATAGTTACTACTATAATATCCTTGAATGCTAGATGGGAGTGAAACAAACTCAGCCTGAATTGTGGATGTTCTGTACAACATGGCAGAATTCTCTGCTCTCCCTGGAATTGGGGAACAAGTGGTAACTGACGTAAAGGCATCTTGCAAAGATGACCTTTGAGGAAAAAATGATCAGGAGATTATTCCAGATGTAAGAGATTTGAAAGCAAAATGGACACAGAAGAATAGAGATTTGACAAAAGGAAGGATTACTAAGGATGTGAGAACTTACTTTTCCACATTATAACAAATGTGGAAATTAGCTGGGGAAATATACTGTCAAACAAAATTTTGGTAATAAAACTAAAGCATGAAAGGAACTTTATTTGATGCCGCATTTTGAAAATATATTGAACTTCTTAAATACCATTTTCTACAATGAAATTAGCTATCTATTCTTGGTGGCTTATTTAAACATTTTAATTTTGTTTCTTTCAGATATTTGAGATATTTGGTCCCGTCCTACATCCTTTTTATGTGTTAAGATTTAACAGCTCTGAACATATCAAAGAAAAAGGTATTAATGTGCAAGATAGCATGTATTTTGCTCCATCAGTGGAGGACTTCACTCAGTATATATTTGCAGAGAAACTAAAAAAGTGAGTCTGATTTCTTTTCTAATCTGATTATTATGTGTTTTTTAATCTAGCTAAAAATACTGGATTAAAGTTTGGTCTTGGGTGAGATTGATACTAAACTGTTTATTTCCTTTAGATATTCTCAACCGTGTTGTAATTACAAGATTGTACTGTTTTGCCTTTCAGAACAGTAGAGAGTAGCTGTAAACTGCAAGCTTTCGAAGTGCTATAATTACTAAAGTTCAGCTTCTTGTTCAATTTAATATATTAAGTTTACTTGTTTTTATGCTGCTGTGTTACATAAAATATCATAACCAGAAAAAAGTTCATTGATAATTCCCCCATACCCCCTCACACACATATACGTAAAACAGTTTTGCAAGCTGAACTGTCCACATATTGTTCTTTGGATTCTTGTTTAGTTCCAGAACTGATAATAAACTTGTTGGCATTCTGAGCAACTTTGTTATTATTTACTATTTTTAGTTCATGTTACTAGGCCATAATTGAAATTTATTTATCATTAAAGTATTAAAAAGTTGGAGTATAAAAATTACCTACTGTAAATTTGTGAAAGAGGAGGGATTTGAGTGGCAATGTAGTATGATGTTCAGAAATTCCTCTGTAGTGTTTGTGCCTCCCAGCCTGCCTGAGGAAAGCAGCATGTATGAATAGGACTTGATGCCATTTAAAGGGAAGTGTATTCAAAGACACAGACAAAGAAATAAAGCATAATAAATGACAGCTAGATATTAATGTTCTAATTATTCATAATTTTGTGTATATAGGTTAAAATCTTTTGTCATAAAGGTGACTTAGTTTCTGTTTGTCAGGATTCTCAGTTTCTCATCTGACTTGGGTTGGTTAGTTGTCTGCACTCATTACAACTCTGCCCATATTCATACTGAATGATTTTTTCCTTAGTCAAGCATGTGTGGCGAGGCCTGCAGGACTCTTTTTTTTTTTTTTAATTTCTCATTTCTGTGTGAGCAACAAGCATATTTTTTTCCTTTCAGTGAAGCCAAAAATAGATCAGTTTCTTGCTCTGATGCTTGTTTGTTTTTCGGCAGCATTTTGATGCCAGCTGATCTTTGATTTGCACTATTAAACTTTGTTGCTTAGCACAGTAACTGCACAGACTTCAGTCATCTGCTTGCTGCATCAATAACTGTGTACTGTACTCAGCATCTGAGATGGGAGACTCATGTTTTAGTCTGTTGCATGCTTTGGAAATAGTTTTGGAAACCATTTGTCTTTTGGTAGTACTTCATTGTCATACGTGGCAAAAATTGAACACTAGGCAAGATATTTCAGACTGTGGCTTACTAGCACAGCTGAGCAGTGCATCAGACATTGCTTCTTGCCTCGATTAAAATGAGCAGTGTGAACACCTGTGTAGTCTGACATGACCCATAATTTCTGACTCATTCGACTGAAGTTACATTTCACTGAAACTATTTTATTTCTGGGCTTCATCACTATAATTTCTTAAGCTCTTATGAGGCATTTGGTACCATTTGTTGAACGTGCCTTTTCACAAAATAGGTATCATTAAAAATAGATAAAAATTTTTTGATTTCTGACCTGTGCTGTAATGTCTGTATAAAGGAACCAAGATGGCATGGATAGTAGAAAAGTTGAGCTTTGGTCAGTGCTTCACAAGAAGGCTTTTGGACCTTAGCAGATTGTAAATTTGATGACCAATAATTTTTATTTTCTGCTTTTTATTAGTTTGACAGTGTGCGCACCAGATTGTGGAGTATTAAAGGCTTAAAGTTTTAAAACTGCTACTGAAAGCTGTGATGGTACTTTGAAAATGAAAGGAATCAAGATAAAGATCTGAAAGAAACATTAAGTTTGAAGCTTTTTCTGAAATCTGAAATGCAATCTGCTTACATTGTGCAAAGTTGAAGTGCTATGAATAAGCCTTACACTTTATAGAAAAATAAAGTGTAGTGTAAAACTTACTGAATGCAAAACAGTTTGTTGCTAAAAATAGATAAGCTCATGTTCATGATTCCTCTGAGTCACCTTTTGTTGGACTTTCAGATCTTACTTCAGAAATATCTTGACTGTGGAAGTCAAAGAAATACTATATTGTTCTTTAAAGAAGATTACTAAGTTCTTTGTAGTATGAAAAGTGGTTTGTGTTTTGCTGAAATGGACAAGGCTGCCTTGGGAGAGTGAGATAAGATGTGTGAAAATAAAAGGTTTAAATTTTGCAGTCAGTCATTGCAGTGAACTGCCTCAATTCAGATTCAAAACAATTTAAGTTCAAAAGGATGTGTTAAAAGAATATTGATCAAAGCTTAATATTGGCTTAATATTGCTGATCAAAGCAGGAAGATTTTTCAAGTGAAGTAGTAAGTTGACATATACATTACTATTCATTTAGATCATCATGGTTAGGCTTTGTGAACGAAGATTTGGGAAGGGCTCTACCCACATTTGCTACAAGCGCGTTAGTGGCTAAAGAGGCCAATGTGAGATAGACAAGTCCAGTTGCAAAAGGCACAGCAGAAAGACTCCTTGGGTGGTATCGGCAAGACATGATTCTTTCTGCGTTTGTCTTTTCTCCTCGAGAGTGATCCTGTGTGCGTTCTCAGCGTCAGCAGCAGCATGTCTCCTTAGCGTGGTGCCTATTCATTTATTTAAATATAATGCAAAGAAACAAATGCCTCTCCGGAAACAGACACCTCTTGGTGTACAAGATCTGATACCTTGAAAGTATTACCCTTCCTTCATATGGATTGTCTAATTTGTGTTTGGGGTTGTTTATTTGTTTTTTTGTGTTTTTTTTTTTTTTTAGGGAGAAAGGTTCAGATGCATCTTGGAAGCATGACCAAGAACCACCACCTGAAGTAACTATAGTGGATTTTTTTTGTTTATTGTTTTTTGATTACACAAGCTATATGTAAAAAAAATTCTATGCAGAGTAACTAATTAGCAGGCTTATTTTTTTTAATGCAGACAGGAGTTGGATATACCTTTTTATTGAAAGAAAAGTTCATGCTTTTCTTTGAGAGGTGTCATAGTAAGTGTAAAAAGTACTACCTGTCTTTTTTTACTTGCTTTTTGCAGTTGGGAAAAATGTGTATTTTTTATTCACCTCCTCTAGTCCTTCAGGCAGTTCTTCAACCAGGGCACCATGAACCTACTCATGCCACAGTTGGACAACATATCCAGAAGGATGCTGTGAGGGGCAGTACAGTCCTTATCTGAGGCTGGGTGTTCTGGCTTGAAGAAGAGATGTTGTGACATGAACTTTTCTCTCAAAGAATGCTTGTCTGTCAGTTCTCACTGTAAATTGCCTTCCTTTCTTGGTGAGACATCATCTCACAGAGAATCATAATTTGAGAATTAGAAGTGTTGCTTAGGAATTGGACTGTATGTATGTGATCAGCAGAGCTTTGAAAGGCTGTGTACTTAGAAACTTTTGGCTAGTCTTAGCTTTTGTTTGTTTAACAATTTTCTAGTGGTGATGCTTACTGGCTAATGGTGAGCTCTTTTGTTGTTTCTTAGTCGTGTTTTAAAAACTTTTCAGGACATAAGCTTGTAAATGTGTAATTTGAGTTTGTAGGAACCTAAGAAACTTTAAAATTTGGCTAAATACAGTGAAACAGTCAGATTTTCTACAGATACAGGTTAATTGCTTTTTCCAAGGTTTGGGTTTTTTTAATGATTTTTCTTAGTTTTACTTATAATACTGTTACCTTCAGGTTAGAATCTGAAGGTACAGGGGAAACTTCAGGTTTGCTGTACTTCACCATAGGAAGGAAGAAGGCTTGAACAAAATCAGTGAAACAAGGACAGGCAAACTTGCTTGCTTTTTATGACATCTTTGTTTTTGTGGCTGTTCTGATTTTCTGATCTGTCTGTGTGCTCTGTTTTGGAAAAAATCCACATCTAGCATCTTGTAATCCCCAATTAGAATAATCTTTGGTTAGTTCTAGCAGTCAGAGTGTACACCAGGCTATCCAAACTGTGACAGCTGATGAGTTGATAGAAAGTAGCTTTTGCTGTGAAGGTAATAGCTGTTGACAAGGGTGCAGATTAAATTTTACACTACTGATGCTTGAAATTGTCTCTTACAGTCAGACTCTTTTAGACATCTCAGCTTGCAGCTGAATTTATAACTTTTCTGGCTAGCCCCAATGGTAAACTGTGTGCAGTTGCCGGAGTCAGTTTTTTTTTTTTGTGATTCTGTGAGGCTTTATTTTTGTATGAATGTTAAATTAACCCATGTTAGGCTTTTTTTACTTGCTACTTTATATGGTAAGCATTCCTTTTCTGACAGGCTCTTAATTAACCCACCTTAACTGTAAACTCGCTAGTACAGTCTTTTTCAGCCTTGTTTTTGGGGTCATAGGATGACAAAGTGTGATCTGTATGCTGCAAGGCTGGCATTAGCAGACAACTGCAATTTTTCTGTGACGCAGCTTTTATGGAATGTTACATGGAAAGTAGGTAACAATAAAGGGTACCTATTGCTGTTTATTATTTCTACTCTATGGGAATATGGTGTATTGAAGTCCTTAGAAAAAGCAGGAGTTAGTGAAAGATTTTATGTCATGGTATGTATCATGACTTGTGGCTTTTTTTGAGTAAGTATGTAATGCAGTTATGTAGAAGAGGCAATAGTTGCATTCAGAATTAACTTTTATGTGGCTTTTTTTAGTAGTGTTCTACTGCAATGTTTTTGAGACCCATGCTCTGTGCATGCTGTAAGCAGCAAACCTCCTGCTTTCAGAATTGGGAAGGGTGGGAAACAATCCTACCCTTTTTAAGCCATATGAGTGAGCTGTTTTTTGGGGAACTAATTAATTCTGACACATTTCTTCCCTGTCACTGATAACTCTTCCTCATTCTAAATGTAGGCTAGGATTTAAAAGGTAGCAAAACCTTGTATAACAAGAAGAAAATGCAGTGACATTGAATCTATTGTAAACAGCAACATTTCTCAAAGCTAAAAATTCCTTTGGAATAACATTGCTATTGCAAGTGTAACAGGAATTTTGTTATTAAATATACTACAGAAAATTCCAGTTTAGTGACAATTTTAGACTAGACTTTTTTTTTGATGTTTAACTGTGCTGAGTTAGGTATTGGTTGTCAGGTTAATTTTTACTTATTTTAAAAATTCATGTTTTAATTCACCTAGTCTTCAGTTTGCCCTTCAAAAGCTTTTCTTGGCAGTAACTAGCCAGCTCCTTCAGAGTTTCCCAATTCCTTTCTAACTAACACCTAGGCCATCAAAATTTTTTTGTTCAGTACTTGAATATTCCTCTTTTAAGGAAAACTAGACAGATTAACTGAATCTTGTATTAATTGTCTTATGAGAAATTTCTTGTGCTGAGAAGCCAGCTGATTTCTTTGTTTTTGACCAGGTCTTGGATTTCAGTGATGATGAAAAAGAAAGAGAGGCAAAACAGAAGAAAAAGAAGCCTGAAAGTGAAGGAAGGAAAAAATTCAGATCAGAAACAATTCCCAGTGAGTGAATGCTATGGGAGAATGCTTTTTGTCATTTTTCCAAACTGAGTTTGGAATGCCCATCTACATTTATCTTAATGATTGATTTTTCATACAGTTAATCAGTATTTCTGTGCTTTTCAAAGTTATATTTGTGAATTTGTGCCTACATTCCGTATTTTATTATAAGAAAAAAGTTATTTTCTGTTAAAACAGAAACCCCGTGGAAGGGAAGTGGTATAGCAGCAGAACAGTTGTCGGAAGAGAGTCAAGGGCTCTTACAACAGTGTTAGACACACAGTGAGGATACAGAACAGGTGCCATTTGGAGTTTAGAGCTTTAGGGGTTGTTTGGGCCCAAGTTCACCTAAAGCCTTTGAGTGCGGGGCAAGATAGATAAAGGCCATGTGCAAATTTTGGAAACTCACTTCTTGGGAAGTCAGGGAGGAGGCCCAAGTCTTAGATAGGGAATTTATTCCTCTGTCTGAAAAGGAAGCTCTTCCTCCTATGTCATATAAATACTCCTCTAAAAAATCTTACTGGTGTAGCTTGCTGAGAACCTCTCTGTTCACCTCCTGCAGTCATTAGATAAACAAACCTGTGTATAGGTTTTCATAATATGAATAGCCTTCTGCCCCTTCCTTTCACCTGCTGTTGTCATACCTGTTCCAGGTGTATGCTTGCATCTGTGCTCTCTTTGTAGTAACCAAATTTTTGTTTCTCATCCCTACTTAAAAAAAGCACTACACTTTTGCCTTTGATTTTCTAGGACAGATTCCTCCTGTGAGTTTGCTGCTCTTCCATTGTAAAGCTGATATACATTGCGCCCCACTCAAATGCTCTTCTCTTGATCTGGGAAAAGAGTAACTGTCCTTTAATGCTTTTTGTACAGTACGACCCTCCCTTGCATCATTTAAATAAAGCTGCCATCTTCCTTGGACTGGCTTTTGCCGTGTGGTTTTGAAGTTTTCCCTTAAGAGAAGGATCTGAATTGTACTGTACTTTCTCTTCATTGCTGATGTGGTTTTTTCCTCCTGGTTTCTGTTTATCTAGCATATGGCACGTTTTACACCACGTCCTTGTTCTTCTAGCTTATTGCAGACCTGTTGCCCTATTGCCTAGGGCTTGCTGAGGCTGCTACTGAACTATGTTATGTTCCGTAACTGAGAACACAACAGGAAGAACTGCCGCACTCTGTCAAGGGAGATGGGTAATGATTTGTTGGCATAGAAACTGAAATTGTGCAATTTGCTTTGGCTGTAGAATTAAATAATAAGGATATGTGACAAATTGAGACAAAAACTCAGTCTCAGATGGAATTTGCTTGGTTGCGTCTTCATAAAACTCTGAGTATATTAAAATTATAGTATTTGCTAGGAGAAGAAAGAACAAAAATATCCATTCAAGTACTTTCACTTCAGTGCTTCCAAAAGGCCTTCTTGTACCAAAGGAGTCTTAAGTCCTAATCCCCCATGAAAATTAGTAGAAATTTTGGTATCCAGCTACCTTTCCAGACTTAGCCTTTTGGAGATGAAAATGTTTCTATGTAGTCTAGTGCCAAGGATTATATTCACACAAGTGTTTAAATTTCAGTGATTTTATTTGGTGGTATGTCCCTGAATACCTTGTTGCTTCCAACCCTAAAATCTTTTCGAGTTCATGCAGTTTAAATTCTACAACTTTTTGAATATCTTTAAATGTTCTTTTTGGAACATTTGCAATATTTTGGTGCTCTTCATTTTATAGCTCTTTTCCCATTAAAGCTTTTCTTATATTTATATAAAGAGGCAGTACATTTCTTATGAACCTTAAATATATGCTTATAATGACCTGTAAAGGGAAAAATTAATCTTAAAAAGATGAATTCTGAAAGCTAATTAGCTGAAGGTACAGGTTACCCTTTAACTGGTAGAGTAAGTTAATTTTAGTAATTTGAGCTTGAATAATTTCAAGCCATTTGTGTCCTGTGCCTGTGGTGTAATACCAACTCAGAACTGAAAGCCATATACTCCTTCAGGGTAATACAGTGTTGAGTTATCTTTAGCTTTAAAATGTGTTGCTTTTAAATCTTGTTTTAAATGAAAGCTTCCAAAATACCCAAAATTTGAGTGTTCCTATGATTCATTTATACAAATGAAAAGCCTGGAGGGAAGGAAAGTGAGATTTCTTTTTTAATGATTGAATTTGCAGCCCTCAGGATTATCCTTTTTGTGTTCTCTAATCAATCAAAATTAGTTACTAAACAGTAGACTTGCCAGTATTATTTTGTTGTTTATGTATTAGTTTTAAGTATTTTTTGTTGGTAAGAATACTTTTCAAATTTCCTTGACTTCAGTTTGGAAGATTTATGAGGACTAAACTTGATCTTTCCAAAATAATACTACAACCGTGTGTGTTTGTGGGGTTTTTTGTTTGTTTATTTTTTAGGTGAGAAGAAAGGATTTCACCAGTCGATGCAGCAGCCTGCTTCAAGTTCTTCAAGGGGATACCGTGGCAGAGAGTTTGCCAGGCATTCATTACCTCCTCGAGGGTTTTGGAGGCCACAAGTAAGACCACCACAGCTGTACTCTTCAGACAGGAGGATACACCAGGAATCGCCAGTGTTTCCACAACCTTATAGAAAAGAATATCCAATGATGCAGCAGTATCCCTGTCCTCCTCCAGGTTTTGGTTCTGTCAATGACGTGCATCAATTTCCCCCTCCACTTTCCAATAGGAATATGAATTGGACAGGCCCAAACATGTACAACTCGTCATACCCATTTTTACCACCTCCTCCTCCCCTGCAACCTCCCCCTCCTCCAGATAGCCATCCTTCCCAGTTCAGGCCTTACTAAGTTTTCATATGTGTGCATACAGAACATTGCAGTATACAGGACTGCCAAGACTGTATTCCCTTATTTTGAAGATACTTTTACTGCAGCTGTAGAACAAATGTAGAATTTTGTACTTTGTGGGACAGTCATAGAAAATTATTTTTTTTAATATATGTTTTCTGTTTCAAAAAAGAAAATTATAAAAATAACTGAATATTAAGTAATTGTTTATTTTTATAATATCTGTTCCTTTGAAATTATAAATAAAAACTTTTTTGGAGACTGGTATGTAGTGGAAATCTATTTTGTAATAAATGTAAGAGTTATATAACTACTGTGAGTAGTGATGAGGATATGTCACATAAATGATATTAACTAAAAGACTGGATCTGGGTGGTCTTTTTTTAAAATAGCTGGAGTAGCTAGATCTGAAATTGGACCAGTGGCCAAATTACTATGTCAGGTTTAGTGTCCTACAGTGGTTGTAGAAGATCAACCTATTAATGAGATGTTTTGCATGTAATTTAGAATTTAAAACAAGCATAATTTCTCTAGCTTGTCTTTGCTCCTATCGCAGAAACGCCCATAGATACCTGCTAGAGTATCTAGAGTATCTAAGTCAGCCTTTTGGGGAAGGAGTCATCAGTCAGGGAGAGAAAGTGTGTTTTCAGAATTTCCTTGTTTAAATTTGTAAATGCAGATGGTACTAGGTTGCTGCTTGATTGTCCTTATAGTCAGAACTGTCTCTGGAAATTACAAGGTTCATCAACTCTTCCAGCTTGTGCTTAGGAGGAAGGTGAAGTTGTCAAGGACCACTTGGAATAACCTTCACATGTCCAAAGGGTCAGTCTTACAATTGCACTTTATTAGTCTCTGTGGGAGCAACTGTAGTATACCTAAGTATAATAATGGCCCATCTTCGCGAACGAAGATTTTGGGAAAGGTCTTTTTACCTTTCCAGCCTGCGCAATGGATTTTTTAGGTGAGACACAGCCTGCGCTGAACTGAGCCCACCCTTTAATCCTAAGGTTCATCTGCCGGGGCCAAGCAAGCTTGGACAATGGCAGTGAGGTCCTCAGGACGTAGGTTTGTTTAGAGTGTCCTTCTCATAGATGGATGGCCTCACAGGGCTAACGACCTCCATCAGGCCAGGAGACCGGGGACTCGAACCCGTGGTCGCAGCAGTGAAAGTCCTGCACGCTAACCACTAGGCCACCAGTATACCTAAGTAACAATATTGATAAATCTAGAACTACTCTTTCAAAGGTGCGCAACGGAGAAGGTTGTATAGATCTCAGTTTATGAGAAGCAGGTACTGTACAGTGGCAACAAATAGTTTCAGGACAGCAGCACTCCAGACATCAGTGTTTAACTAAGTTCCTGCAGATTATTTTTTTGTAGCAAAAAGAATGTCCAATTCTAGTCTGTTGCAAATGTTTATGTTTTGGGGAGAAGGAGAAGGGGATGAATTTCTGGCTATCTAAACTGTAATCCAGCTATTCCCATTCCCAGTGGTAGGTCACAGGTGTGAGTAAACTCACTACAGCTTCATGACTGGCTTAGCAGACTTGCTTTGTCTAAGCTTTTGCTTGAATTCACCTGGAGCTTTCTTTTGACTTGGTTTAGCTATAACAGCAGTTTGTTAACAGCCAGGTGGCTATGATGAATTTGTTTTAAATGTACTTTTTTTTTCTGTAGTATACCCACAGGTTTTTGCATAGATAATTACTCTGTGTAGAGAGTAGGGTATTTGTGGGTTTGATTGGATAAGATAGTTTAGAGGAAGAGAGACCTGACATAACAGAGGCTTCAAGCATCAGTGCAGGATACAATGTAGAGAAGTACCTGGGATGTCAGGACATGCAGAGTTGGCACTGGAGATCTGGGTTGCAAACTCCTCCCCACTTGTTGGTTGAAGAAGATAAAAATACGTTTTGATTATAACAGAGAGGAAAAGTATATATCATGTAAAATGCAACATCTACAATAAAATCAGATGTAGCTGTGAACATGCAGACAGATGGAGAATAAGCAAGATGTTACAAGTGAGTTATCAAATGTTAAAGTGATCCTGAGTCAATTATATATTACAGAGGAATAAACTGTCAACATCATACTTGGACTTGGGATGCCAGTGGCTTTCTTTGCGCCCTGGCATGAAGAGCCATCATCAGCCTCAAGATCCAAAAGGGTGGTTGAAGGGTAAGTAACACCAAGAAAAGGAGTGAGGTATTAGGTAGTGCAGGTACAACAATCTTAATTATTACTACTATTGCAACTTTTTTTCATCTGTAGTGATACGCACTTTTGTCTGCAATAATTGGATCTGGACCAAAGAATAATTTTTGATTAAACTGTTAAGATTTCTCTTACACTAAGGTGCACTCTGCTTTCCCATAATAATATTTTGCAGGTAACAAAACCCAATATAAAACTGAATTGCAGAATGTAATGCAGAAATATGTTACAGTCTAAGCTATTTTATTAAATCTTGGTAGTTAACTGCAATACTGTTTTTGAGTGCACTTGCCTGTTTCTTATGTTGAAGCAAATTTTACAGGTGTTCTGCATCTAGTGAGTACAAGTCACACTTGGAGAACTTTGCTTGGAATCGACTTTAGTTCTTCATTATAAAATTATTTGATAGCTAGGTATGATTACTGAATTTGAAATACTTTGAGGATTGATTCCTTTCCCCAAAGTAGTGTTACACCCTATGTTCCTTATACTGAAGAATAAACATCGAAATAGATAACTAAAGTAGTACCATCTTAATTTGAACATAGAGGTAATGTAACTTTTTTTTTTTAAAGATCTTGAGTGTAATCATTGGTTATTAAGCCTCCTCATGTAGCTGTTTGTCAGTGGTGTTGCACAGATACTGTCAGACTCTGCTTCAGTATACTGGATGCTTGCTACTGAGAAAGCAGTATAAACTTGCAGTAGTATGGGGAGATTTAGACCTGAGGTGTTGGCAAGTTCAGTTCTTTGGGGAAGGAAAGTAAAACTGTGGGTATGCTTGATAAAAAAATGGATGCAGTGGAAATACTTCTTTTGTATCTTTAACTCTTTGGTAAATGTCCTGCTGTCTGTCCTGCTGCTAAATCTGTCCACAAGATGTTAAAGCCTAAACTATAAAACTTGGGAAAACTGCCCTGGTAATTTTAGTGGCAAGTATAGCTAGTTTTGTTTGGCCTCAGTTATTTTTGAGTCAAGGTGTTTTTTAGAAATCTGTGTTCCTACCTTACTGTGTTATGTCAAACATGTTACTACATTAAAGTGTTAGAGCAATATGCTTTAATAACTCTTCTGCTGAACTGTTCTCATGCCTGGACACCAGTTCCTTCCTAGACACAAGGACAGATCCTTGGCAAATGAAGCACTTAAGGCATCTTCCTTTTTCTCTGCTACTGAAAATCGATCGGTAAAGCACACCAGGTCAATTCTTGATCAGTGGCACTTTGGAGCAGGCTGAGCTTTTCAATCTGAAATAATTTGGTGGGTAATGCACCTTCTCTAGAGATACTCCAAATTAAAACAGCCAACCAGCCAGAAGACAGAAATTGTGAAATGTGAATTGTGCAGACATCAGGTCCTCAGCATCAACATTTTCTCTATGTCTCTTTTTTAGCTAGTCCGCACTAGTTGCTAATGTAGGTGCAATTTTAACATTCGACATGTAGTGTAATACTTATTTTTTTGTAGATACTGCTTAGGCACTAATATTTCTGATTCAGGCATACAAAGACAGAAGGACTTAAAAATCTCTGTTCATTCTGATTATTGATAGTGTTCAATCCTGATGCCAGTTGAAAATACCAGTAAATCCCTGTTAGCTAGGAATTTCAATATGACCTATGTCCCAGTGGTTGGTAAACTGCTGGATTGGTACATTGATACCAGAAAAGGTGTTGAAGCCAGTGTCTTGAGTAAAATAATTGAATTATATCCGATATGTTTTGTTTAAAAACAAAGCCATCAAGCTTCCCTCTTCTCCTCTCCCCAAAAAAGCAACTGAAAGGGGAAAAAAACAAACAAAAAACCCCACAAAAAAAACCCCTAACAAAACCCAAATACTTCAGTTTCTGAATTTGACCTTCCATGTGTACAGATATGATTCGGCAATTCTTGTGGGCAGTCACAATGTTTTGAATACAAGAAATTTGGAATTACACTGTTTAGTGATCCTAAATCTGAACTGGAATGAAGAGAAAATACCATCATGTATTGTCTTCCACGTAGAACAGCTTTACCTGCAAATTCATTTGTGTGCCTTCAATTAATCACTACTTATGTTTGAATACTGACTACTTTTTCCGAATAAATGTGGTTGGTGTAGGAATACTACTATGGCATTTTTATTAACTTTAAGCTATTTAGTGAACTGTTAGGATTTAGAATTTACTAAATTGTTGGGAGATTAGAACTTTACAATAGTTTGCTTTCATTCAGTGAGGTATAGCTGGGAAATCTAAAAGCCTCAAAAGAAGGGAGCATTTCTTATTTTGTTTTTACTTGTTCCCCTCAAAGGTGCATAAAGCAATTTCAACATCAGAAAAGTTTTGAGTCCAGAACAGAATTTTCAGACGTGACTCCCACCAGCCCTCCATCTGTGCCAAAAGTAGCAGAGGTTGCTAGGCTCAGGGCTGGGATGGGTCAAATATAAGTCCTGAGTAAAATAATATTTTCAATATTGCGTTCTGGCTCATGTTATCTTATTTTCACATTAGGCCTGAAAAGCTGCGATAGAGCCCTGTCACTTCTGTAACATTTTTAGTTATTCCCCTTTTTTTTGAAATTTGGCATTTCTTCATGGACTGCTTTCCAGAGAAAGCTTAAGGCATGGGATGAGGGGAGAGACTCAAGGGAAAGAGAGGCTTATGGAAAGATTGGATAGAATTTTTCAGAAGGCTGAGGTTTATAAATAGAAATTGGAGCAGTAAACTATTGGAGTGTATAAATAACTGTAACTGATAACATGGGAAAGGGAAAACTGTAATCACATAGTTGACAACATTCCTCTTAAATTTATGAACAAACAACAGTGGTACATTTGCTGTCCTTTAACTCTGGTTTAGACAAGAGTCAGCAGCAGGGTCACCCCCAACTTCTCTTGGGGGTGAACGGCAAAAGGACAAAAAACTTTCTTAATGGAAAATTCTGACAAGTGGCATGGAGTGCAGAGAAGCACATGCTGCCCCAGGTTGCTCTGAGAGATGATGGAATGTACACTCTTGGAGATTCAAAATTTGACTTTGGACAAGGGCTTGTGTAATGTAATGTCCAAGTTAGTCTTGCTTTGAGTGGAGAGATGGACCAGGGTCTGTGAAAGCCATCCCAGCCTAAACTATTCTTGTCGTTGCTGTCATTTTCTTCTGTCTGAGGATTTATTTTTTTTTTCTGTGTAGATGCTAAAAGGCATGAATAGCCTACCCTGAATTACTGGTGTTTGGGAAGCCTAGCTCTTAATTTGTGCTATTGTGCTCTTTCATTATACTACAGATTTTTACATGTAAAATATCCATGCTGTGCTAAAAGTTGGACTTGCTCTGGGAAATAATGACTGCTTCCATTTCACTGGATGTAAGATGAATTGAAGAATTTTTCCTTTATTAGTTGTTTGGAAACTAATGCTAATGAGGGTCTCAGTTGCTGTCATTTTCCCTTAGGGGGTAAAGCATTTTGTATTGTACTATTTATTTTGAGAATGATGTAATAAATAACAGTACCCAAAATTATTTTAAAAATGCAACAAAACACAAACAAAAAAAACCTCCTGAGAATTATTTTTAAAGAATGTTCTCTAAAGTAGAGATTTGTGCCTTAGTGAAGACCTTTTTAGTAGTGTGAGGCACTCGTGCCAGAATGCATATTAATGCCATGCAGATGAAAAAAAGAAATAAGCAGGAGTTTTTTTGTAGGTTATACTTAGATGTTTCCAGGTTCTGTTTTCTGTTTCTTTGCAAATCAAAGATATAGTCATTATTCTTGTTTAATAAATTTAGTGATGCACATAATATGATTTAAAGGACCAATGAATCTGCACAAAACTGTTGGTGACAGGTTTGTTATAGTGACAGTTGAAAATATGGAAAGCACTGCCAAGGATGACAAGGCTTTTACAGAACAGCTTACCTTTCAGGACAAATACATAATTCTGGAAAGCATATAATGATCTTTCTTTATCTTAATCACTTGGAAGTTTACTCAGAGTTGTTGAATGTGGGGTAGTCTTCATTTGTCATAAATGAAATCTGTTGTAACTATGGAACTATTGTTGACTTTTCTGTGAATTTGATGCTCTGTGTTTTTTAGGTAATGTTTTGTGAAAATGCTTTATTAGAATTTTCTGTATGACTTCTGAGTTCTAAAATCAATGGAAATTGTGAGTCATAGATTCACAGAATGGTTTGACTTGGAAGAGGACTTAAAGATCGTCTAATTCCAACCTCTCTGTAGTGGGCAGTAATGCCTTCCAAGAGACCAGGTTGCTCAGAGCCCCATTCAGTCTTGCTTAATGCATAATGCTGGCTATTTATTAGCACAAAGCCAGCCACCAATACAGAGAGAGAAGAATGAGCAACTGTCACACACTCTAGCTTTGAACTTGGAAACAGAATTTTCTCTGGCTCTTCCGTGCCCACCCGAGTAGCCTGAGTACATGGGCATAAAATAACATACTCCACCAAAAGCTGAAACAACTATGGGAGCACTTATGGTTATGAAGTATCTAAGTTTGTTTATATTAAGTCTCAAAGACTATTGTTTGCATTATGTTCTAAACAGGAAGATTTCACTTTGCAAGTTTCCTACTGTGGGAAGTAGGAAACAAAAATCTAAGAACTTCTTAATCATCAAGAATGAACTGCTGCTTGATATCAGACTAACTTGTCATGAAAGTCTGTCTTTTGAAAGAAGTGATACAGATAATATTTTCTTTAAAGAGAAGAAAAATGTCATTAGCTATATTAATTTAATAATATTTACTCAATTTTTAATATGTACATTATGTGGTCTTAAATCTGTTTTGTGAGAATTGCATGCATGAGATCTGTAAAAAAACAAATATTTTCTTCAACATAGACTCAAGAAAAGAGAGTATATTTTGTGACATTTCAGTTGATTCCTTTATGTGAATGTTTGACCTCAGGTAGACTTTCTATAGTATTCAATTTGAAAGTGAAAAGTATACCGAGACTATA